ATTACAGGACGACATTGTTCCAAATAAATTGTAAAAGCACAAGCAAAGTAATGTTCACTTTTAAATAGGACTTATTTTGGAGATGTTTGCAGCATACGAATCACTTTCTCCATGTTAACCATGGATGAACCGTACGGAAAGGCACATGCCTCTTCAGCCTTRTTCTTCCATTCAATGGCATTCTTCCTCATCTCTTTTYCCTTTTCTCCATTCATCATCTCAATCACTAGTTTCGCTACTTCATCSCTCTTTACGTTGTTGTCGATCTCCATCGCAACCCCCCACTTGTTGCAACACATCCAACAATTCGTCTGTTGGTCTCCGAAAAACGGCCAACATATCATTGGAACTCCACTGGAAATACTCTCGATTGTCGAATTCCATCCACTGTGTGTTAAATATCCTCCGATTGATGGGTGTTTTAGAACTTGTTCTTGAGGGCACCAACTAGACAACCACCCTCTACTCTTTATCTCTGCCATAAGATCCGATGGAAGCATAGCAGAATCGCCAATCACGAGGTCTGGTCTTATAATCCATAAGAATGTATAATTGCTCTTCGTGAGTCCCCAACAAAACTCGACTTGTTGCTGAGGCGTCATCACCGTGATACTACCAAAATTCACATAAATAACTGACAATGGCGCTTTCGAGTCTAGCCATTTTAAACATTCCGTCTCTTCTTTCCAAAGGTTTGATTTGATGGACGCTAGAGATTTGTCAACWRTTTCCTTCTCGAGTAGATTCAAAGGGCCAATTCCGTAGCAAGGAGGAAATATAGAAGAAAGGGCGTCGAGAATGTTGGGTTCGAGTTCATGATACGTGTTGAGAACGATGGTGGAAGCCGTTTTCGCTCTCTCTATTTGTCTAGTAAAGAATTCAACCATGTATTCATCACCAGGGTTGGTGATTCTAATAAAAGGAGGGATATCTTTTAGGCGTATACGAGACATTGAAGGTATACAGTCATAGATTGTATCCAAATATCCATTCACCAAATAACTCGAATCTGTAGATAAAAAAAGGATAAATTAGCAACAAAAATGATATTTACACGTGATTTTAGTGTATATTCACATGTGATTCAACCGTTTTCTTATTCTCTTGTTTAGTTGCATATGAATATGATTCTATATATCTATATCTTCTTTTTGGTATAACTTACATGTCCTTAAAATGAATTCTATTTTTTTGATAGTCGATAATGACTATGGGAAACATGTTAATGAACAAGATACACATATTTCTCGTATAAATATTGTATTTTCAAAGTTACTTTTCTTATGGGAAAATATAGTATATAGAATTGGATTCAAACAAGAATATGTATGGTTAATAACAAAACACGAGAACATTCATGTCACATGTGATTTTGTGTAAATTTACATGTGAATACCGAACATCGATGCCGCGGTGAGCGTACGACTTGGCCCCTGACCTATAAGGTCGCCCGTGATCATATGTGATTTCATTGTAAAACCGCAAATGGTATCGATGTTCTCATGTTTTTTCATATATTATATAATATATATAGAGAGAGAGAGAGAGAGTGTTAGAAATCAAAATTGAATATGACATTTGGTAGAAATCAAAATTTGGTAGAAAACTAGAAAAGCTACAAACAGTTGATGTTAACATTAAAATTAAATTTTAGCATAAGTTAAAATAAACTAATGTAACATTTGAATCGTTAAGAGAGGAATCTTGTTTGGCAAAAAAAAATCTGTCTCTTAATGATTCTAAAACCATCTGAATGATTTTGTATCCTGAATCTCCGTTAACCATTAAGAGCTCTAATTTCATTGTACACAATTACCAAACAATTATATTTCATTTTGCACTATATCATGAGAGCCTATTAATCATTTTGACCACTTAATCATTCTGCACCAAACCATTCATCAATTGTCAAACAACCCCTAAGATGTATTTAAACTTAATCAAGTAAACATTCACTGACACAATGCTTCTTACGTTTTCTAAGAAAATATCAACTTGCTAACGGAATCCAACTCTATATATATGTGTGTGTATGTGTGTGCGCGCAGAAAAGTTGGAACCTTTAAGGGGCATCAAACCCTTATCCAAAAGATTTGGGTACTGCTCGAAACATAATAGCGAACCAGCTCCACTTGTCCAAAAGAGTATCTCCGGAATATCCATTTCCGTGGCAGCTTCAAGGGTGAAGCTCATAATGAAATCGGCTACTATGTAAGTCACGGGTGAATCCGAAGCACTCAGTTTGTTAAGGAGACTTTTAAACGGAACCAAAAACTTTTCATCCATGGCCTTCCAAAGGGATGGCACGTCTTGGGTGGCATCGGGGTTTTCAGGCGTTGGAAGGCCATCAGGAATGGTCTCGAAGCGGAAGGAAGGGAAGCCGGTTAGGGCGTCGGAGCCCTGAGATCGGAGGAGGCGTTGGTGGTTGAACTCCGTGTTGACGAAGGTGATAAGGAAGCCTTTGGAGTGAAGGATTTTTGCAAGTTTTATCATTGGGTTAATATGGCCTTGGCCTGGTGCTGGCATGCACAATACATGCTGCATCTTTTGTTTAGAACCCATGTAAACCTCTTATCTCTCTCTCTCTCTCTCTCTCTATATATATATATATATAGGATCTTTAATTCGATAAGGGGTTTTCTAACCCCACCCCTCCTATTTCTTTTCCCCTACGTTTTCTATACCCCTATCCATCTATATAATATAATATAATATAATAATTAAAATTTATTTATTTTATTTTTCAATTTTAATCTTTTAATATTTTTAGTTTTCATCCTTTAATATTTTAAATACTTTTCTATTATAGCCCCTAGGTTTTTTTATCTATACTATAATTACATATATTAATTAAYTATATATTATTATTAATTAATAAAGTATTAAAAATATGTATTTTTTAAATTATATATTTGTATATGAATTTTTTTCAATATTTATACTTTATATCTTTATAAAAATTTATTATATTTATTTACTTCTTTATTTTTATTTTATACCTTATAATATTTATATATAGTTTCATAATTAAATAAAACGATGTTCAATATTTGGTTCATTTTGAAGTTATTGACAAGACGATTACGATGATGTAACTTATTAAAATCTAAACATATTTTTAATAGGAATGGCAACGGGCCGGGTCCGGACCGGGTATTGGTATCCCTGTCCCCGAAACCGATATCTAAAACCGTCCCCGTAACCATCCCAATCTCCATCGGGTCCCCGCGGTTTCCTCGATCCCCGTTGGGGAACCCATTAAGGGTAAAAATTCTCTTTTTCACCGTTGGTTATAACCGAACCGGAACCCGAACCCGGAAACGATATGGAAAAAATTACAATATGTTAATAAATAAATATATATATATACACACACATATCGGTCTGGGCTGGTGATCACCGTCCCCGCCCCCGTCCCCGTTAAAATCCCCGAATTCGTCTCCGATCCCCGCCCCGTCCCCGTTAAAATCCCCAAATTCGTCCCCGACCCCCGCCCCGTCCCCGTTAAAATCCCCCAATCCCTGCCCCGTTATTGAAAATACGATTATAATAATACAATTAAATCAAATAATATTCATTATTAGGTTCATTTCAAAGAGATTGACGAGACGATTTTAATGGTGCAATTTGTTAAAATAAAAAGTATATTAAAAAATGAGTATGTAAGATGAACAAGATGAATAAAAGGTATAAAAATGCTTCCTAAGATGTTAATTTCATTGTTAGATCTAATTTTAATTAATATAAAATTATGTTTTTCAATGTGATAATAGTGTAAAACGAAAATTAAAAAAATAAATTATGTATATTAAAAATATTTTTCATAGTATTATAATAATATAATTAAGTCAAAAACTATTCAATATTGGTCTCATTTTGAAGGTATTAACGAGACGATTATAATGGTGTAACTTGTTAAAATAAAAATGTATTTTTAAATATGTTTTAATTGATATACAATTATATGTGTTAATTTGATAAGGATGTAAAATGAAAAATTTAAAAAGAAAGAAGGTAAAATAAATTAATTAACTAATTACAAGAACATAAACTGTAAATTTAAAATTAAAATTTTAAAAAATTTGGTGAATATGAGAGTGTAAGTGAGTGAATATATGTATAGGTGGGGGTTAAAACGAAAACACCTTTATTTTATGAGAACGCGAGAGCATCCTTATCACATGTGATAATACGTGTGAGAGGCTCCTGTGATGTGCGGACGACGTCCTCTACGACTTAGGTCGCGCCAAAGGTTGTCTGCGTCTATGATTTTAGCATCACATGTGATGGTCTTGATGGATTACAGTATCATATCAATAACACTCTTATCACATGTGATAATACTGTTGAGGGGGCTTAGTGGTGTAAGCGCGACTTGACCCGCAACCAAGATCACATCGATCGAAAATCGCCCACGTCTCTGAATTAGTATCACATGTATATCATATGTGATGAAATAATAGTATCACATGCTTGTCTATAGTAAAATGATGTTCTTGTATTTTCATAAAATGAAGATGTCACATTATTTAAACGGAGATTTAAAATTTAAACTGTTGATATGCATTTCACGTATTTTTGAATGAGATTGCTAAGAAAATAACAACGCATAAGACCATTTTCAACGGTAATGCATAAAATAGTGATTTTTATGATTTTTCAAAGAAATTAAGCTCTCAAAGTTATCTTCAAAACCCAAAGGTGAGAAAAAAAAAAGTAGTTAAACACTACAACAAAATTGGGTTTATAGCACGTCTTCAATGTCTAAGCGTCTCAATAGACCGTTTTGTAAGACTTAATTTATAGAACCAAAAATATAAAGCGTCTCATCTAAAGATGACGTAATAAATTTATATGACGTTTTTGGACGTCTTAACAAGTTTTTTAGGACATTTGTAATACAAAGTATTACATTAGCAGCTTTACATGACACTTTTGAGAAAGTGTCCTATAAACTCAATTTTTTTATAGGACACTTGTTTTAGTATGACAGTTTTTCAAATAGTGTCCTATAAAGTTGCTAATGGGACGCTTTATATTAAAAGTGTTCTAAAAAACTTATTACGACGTCAAAAAATGTCATATAAACTTATTACAACGTCTTTAGATAGGACATTTTATTTTTTGGTCATATAAACTAAGTCCTATAAAAGGGTCTATTAGGACGCTTAGAAATAGGGAGCGTTCTATAAACCCGATTTTATTGTAGTGAAACGACAATCTCTAAATTTTTAATAGGTGGTTGTTGTTTAGTAAAAAAAATATGCTTCTTAATTATTCTAAAACCTTTTGAATAATTTTGTTTTTGGGTTTCTCTTAACAATTTACGGTCTTAATCTTATTCTAAACAATTACCAAACAGTTATATTTTATTTTGCATTATACTATAAAAGTCTTTTAATTATTTTGAATCAAATCATTCAGCAACTATCAAATAAATCTTAAAAAGAAATAGAAACCATAAAATTATTAGAGATACTCTTGCGGAGAATAACAAGAAGAACACGACAACTTTATTATTTCAAGCAAAAAAATATTATTTAAAGCCGTAACACAAAGACGTTTTCTTTTCGTTCTCTTCTTCCTTTATCTTATTTTAATCATTATTTATGATAAAACATCAATTTTGATGAATATATTATCTTTCTACAACATTGTAAAGTTGATTTATATATAGGTATTTTATAAAAATTTTTAAAAACCATTTTTATAGATAAAATATTATTTATTGATGCATATTACTTAAAATTTTGAAATTACAATTATACGTAAGTATAACTTATTAAAGCTTCATTTTTT